CTGCAGCACTGTGATAAGAGGAAATCCTAAGTCTTCTTTGGATGAAAAATGCAATGATCTACTAGCAGTATCTTCCATGAGTAAGACTGTACATGTGCCATATACTTGTCAGCCTTTGTGTGAGCAGTGCCTTAGGAAACAACAGTGGCAAATAAGTGAAGAAGCAGTAAAGGACCCCAGTGAAGCCAAAAGAGTAGAAGAAAAAATAAAAAACAAAGACAAATCAAGAACTGGCTTTCCAAAATGCCAATCACCAAAAAAGAAAAAAGAAAAAAAAAAGCCAAATCAAAGCTGGGCATGAAGGCTGATGCCTGTGCTAAGGCTGGAGAACTGAGAGCTCCAGGCCAGCCTGCACTTCACAGAAAGACCTTGTACAACTTCAGCTTTTCATTTTAATATTCCAACCATTCTGATTTAATATTTGAAAAAACTGTTGATCTATCTTTAAGCTGATTTTCTGGTTTCTTTCTTTTTTCTAAAATATGCTCTGGAGGGCTGGGAAGGTGGCTCAGTGGTAGAGTACTTGCGTTGAATGCATGAGGCCCTGGGTTCCATTCCTCAGCACCACATAAGCAGAAAAAAGCCAGAAGTGGGGCTATGGCTCGCCTTGAGCTGAAGAGCTGAGGGACAGTGCCCAGGCCCAGAGTTCAGGCCCCATGACCGACCGGAAAAAAAAAAAAATGCTCTGGATCATCTATGATTTGAAAGGAAAAAGTTAACACTTCAATTCAAGGCATATTTATAACTGAAGTTTTTACTGAGATAACTAATTCACATATATTGTAAAAAGCAATCTAAGAGGGCTGGGAAGGTGGCTCAGTGGTAGCGCGCTTGCCTTGCATGCATGAGGCCCTCGGTTCGATTCCTCAGCACCACATAAGCAAAAAGAAAAAAAGCCAGAAGTGGCGCTGTGGCTCAAGTGGTAGAGCACTAGCCTTGAGCTGAAGAGCTGAGGGACAGCGCCCAGGCCCAGAGTTCAGGCCCCACGACCGGACCCTCCAAAAAAAAAAAAAAGCAATCTAAGAGAACCCTAGTATACCCTGCTCAATTTCCCATGATAATATTTTTATAAAACAAAACTATATCATCACAACTAGAATACTAATAACTATAATCTAACAATTATGTTTTTCCTCCTGAGGCATTTTTAACTGGCCAATACATTTCATTCTATCAACTCTTCTAAAGACTGTAAATTGCACTTGTTCTCCAATTGTTTTCTACCCCCTTTACTGGTCTTCATTTGTAAGTTAATCTCTTTTGGAAGGGGTTCTGGAACGTCATACTATTCTTAAACACTTTACCATCTTCATATATCTTCATATATCATATACATATCTTTTTCTCTCATTCAGTCTATTCTAATTTTTCCAAAGCATCAGTCTTGGGATCAAAAATCCTAGAAATGAAGTCCAGTTCTACTACACACTGGATTAGGCAAATCATTTACATTCTCAGTATTTCCACATCTGTAAAACTGGAATCAAAGAGCTTCAAGAGGTGGTAAAAAGTGTGCCTGCAAAGCGATTGGCATGGTTCATAACACAGAGCTAAGTGTTCACTAAACATTTACCATAAATATTTAGTGTTCATATGACTTTTCTAATAGTAACATCATTCACTTCAATCTCTTTAATGCTCTAATCTTAACATTATATTTGTTCATCATTCAACAAAAATATTAAAAAAAGATTTAATAATTGATTTTTTTCACAAATGCCAAACTTAGCTCAGAGGCTAGTGGCTCATGCCTATGATCTTACCTACTTGGAAGGCAAAAAGCAGGACTGTAGTTTGAGGCCAGTCTTAAAAGACCATACACAAGATGATACCTCAGCTAACTACTGAGCATAGTGGTGAATGCTTATCTGTCCAGCTGCATATGAAGCTAATATTGAGAGGATTTTAGCACCAGGCTAGGCCAGGTAAAAAAAAGTTCAAGACATCCCTATCTCAAAAGAAAATGCTGGGCATGGTGGCACATGCCTATCATCCCAGATAAAAGAGGAAACATAAATTGGGTGATTGTGGTCCAGGCTGGTCTGGGCAAAATGGAAGACCCTATTTCAAAAATAACTAGAGCAAGAAAGTATTAAAAGAGTGGTAGATTGCCAGTCTACCAAGCACCAAGTTCAAAACAGTACCATAAATAAATTAGCTAATTAAGGCAGACAGCAATGATTAAAAAAAGGAATAGGCTGGAAAGGTGGCTCAGTGGTAGAGCGCTTGCCTTGCGTGCCTGAGGCCCTGGGTTCAATTCCTCAGCACCACATAAGCAAAAAGAAAAAAAGCCGGAAGTGGTGCTGTGGCTCAAGTGGTAGAGCGCTAGCCTTGAGCTGAAGAGCTAAGGAACAACACCCAGGTCCAGAGTTCACGACCAAACCCAAAATAAAATAAAATAAAATAAATAAAAAGAATAAAGTTTTGTGGCATTTTCAATAAAGAAAGTTAATATATAACTGGCTCTTTAAGTATGTATTTATTTTGCACATACGTAGGAGGCTTGAAGAAAATCTTTGAAGGACATTAGGAAAACTAATGTACTAATGGGAAAATCTGGGTAGAGACAGAAAACAGTACAGTTTTCAGGTTGGCCACAGTCCCAGAACAAGAACAATCCAAAGTGATAAAAAGCAAAAATGATCAACCTCAGCACTTAAAGGCTTTGAATCCAAATTTGAAGTGTAACTTTCATTCTGTCTATAATGCAAATTTAAAGATTACAAGTAGTACACTAATAATTCATAACTGTACAGTCAAAAGGTGAATTGCTATAACATATAAATAGAACTGTAGGAAAAAACCTCTACTGTCCTAGGATAGGAAACATGCAAATTCATCAGGCAGGTAGAGAAAGCATGGGAAGAAAATCTGAGGGAGAAATACTAACACAATCCAATCAATAAGATTTGAGAAGTAATGAAATTTGTAAAAAAGAAACTAGGTTCTGTGAACAATGCTAAAGAAAAATGGCTACCAGATATCTATCTCTACAAAACCTCTATTTTTCTGAATTCCATACTATATTTTAACTTCTTAACTGGACTGAGTTATATTTACTTGTGTAGTGAAACAAGTATCTTACAGTAACTAATAAGCAAATTCAAAAAATCAACAAAACTAACTATGCTAAGCATTAGGGAAAAATAGTCTATTTATTATATGTGCTATATAATAAGGTGTTTCAAAAGTAGAATTTGGGGGGCTGGGAATGTGGCCTAGTGGTAGAATGCTTGTTTTGCATGCATAAAGCCCTGGGTTCGATTCCTCAGTATCACATAAACAGAAAAGGCCCAAAGTGGCGCTGCAGCTCAAGTGGTAGAGTGTAGAGAGATTCAGGGACAGTGTCAAGGGCCTGAGTTCAAGCCCCAGGACTGGGGAGGAAAAAAAAAGTAGGATTTGGGTTCCTATAATAATTTATTAATAAAACCAGAAAGTAAGATTCCTATTTTCATTCTCTCACTGGTATAATCCCAATGTTAGAACAATGTCCAGTGTACTACTGACACTTGATAAAAATATTTGTTAAAGTTGGGCGCTGGTGGCTCACGCCTGTAATCCTAGCTACTCAGGAGGCTGAGATCTGAGGATCGCGGTTAAAAGCCAGCCCAGGGAGGAGAGACCGTGAGACTCCTATCTCCAATAAACCACCAGAAAACCAGAAGTGGCGCTGTAGCTCAAGTGGTAGAGCGCTCGCCTTGAGCTGAGGGACAGCGCCCAGGCCCAGAGTTCAAGCCCCACGACTGACCAAAAAAAATTATATATATATTTGTTGAATGTGTATGTGCATAGGAAAAGAAATTAAATTCTTTTCTTTTTTTTGGTTGGTCATGGGGCTTGAAATCTGACTCTGGGTCTGGGTCTGGGCCTAGGCCTGAGCCTGGGCACTAGCCCTCAGCTCTTCAGCTCACTTGAGCCACAGTGCCACTTACATTTGCTGAGTGGTTTATTGAAGATAAAAGTCTCACAGACTTTTCTGCCTAGACTGGCTTTGAACTGTGATCCTCAAATATCAGCCTCCTGAGTAGCTAGGATTACAGGTATGAGCCACCAGTGGCTGGCAAGAAATTAAATTCTAGGGCTGGGAAGGTGGCTCAGTGGTAGAGTGTTTGCCTGGGTTCAATTCCTCAGCACCACATAAGCAGAAAAAGCCGGGAGTGGCGCTGTGGTTCAAGTGGTAGAGCACTAGCCTTGAGCTAAAGAGCTGAGCTGAGGGACAGCACCCAGGCCCAGAGTTCAGGCCCAGGACTGACAAAAAAAAAAAGAAATTAAATTCTAAGAGTCTATGTTGATCTCAATGGTCAAAGGGCTTAACATTCTCTCCCAAACTTATTAAAATGGCTTTCTGTAGCTAATTTCCTTTCACAAACTCTAACAAACTGTAAATAGGTTAGTAAAGGTTATATAATTTTTGTGGAGGGTGGATGAGAGAGAGAGAGAGAGGGCGCAAGTGCATGCACAAGAGCAACTGAAACATATCTCCACTTCCAGATTTCACTGGTTCATTGGAGATAAAAGTCTCCAAAGAACTTTATTGTTCATGGCTTTCCTTAAACCGTGATCCTCAGATCTCAGCCTCCTTGGTAACTAGGACTACAGGTATAAGCCATGAGCCCCCAGCTCTAAAAACTAAATTAAATACTACTAAATTATCAACTGCTAAATGCTACAACAAAAATCTCCATAGAATATAATAGCTGAGATTCTATGCAGATTTTTAGGTATGTTCTATTTTATAGTTTGAAAGTATGATTCAGTTCAGATACAGGATGAAAAGTTAAAATCACCAATGGCACAGATGAATTTAAAGACAAATATTATTCAGATATGTGGCTCATCTGTAATCCCACAACCTGGGAGACTGAGACACAAAGATCATGATCTGGACCAACCTGGGCTACAGAGTGAGAATCCATCTCAAAAAGGGAAGAAAAAAAGGCAAATATTTGTTATGAGATTTACAAATTTGAAAATGTTTCCCTTGTGCTTAATCATCTTACCAGGTCTTTCCTTCCCAGTGCCTTTTGATTCAGCAAATTTTTGTATCAAACTTTCAACTGTTGTATTAGCCATATTATTTATAAACTCTTCATGAACCTATTAAAACAAAACAAAGACCATTTTTTTTCTTTTTCCACCAAAATTCTTATGCTAATTAAAACTTACAAAAGCAATACAAATTTATAAAAACAATAATGGCTTAAATGGTACAACACTTGTATAGCCAGCACTAGGGAGTGAGTTCAAACCCTAGTGCTATCAAAAAAATTAATGTAATGGCAAAAAAAAAACAATGATAATAGTTTGGGATTTTAGTAGCAAAGCATAACAGATTTCATCCTACTCTACTATAGTTTAATGTACCCTAAATTATAAATTATAATTAAACTTCCTCTATATTTTCAAAATATTTCTAAGTTCAAGTTCTTTAACTTACAAAAGTTTCTCCTCTATCTAAAAATAAAACTTTTTTTTGGTGCCAACACCAGAGCTTGACCTTGGAGTCTTGCTTGGCTTTTTTACGTAAGCTGGTATTCTACCATTTGAGTCATACCTCCAGTTCTGCTTTTTTGCTGTCTGCCCAGATTTAAACAGCAATTTTCAGATCTCAGCTTTGTGAATAGCTAGGATTACAGGCATGAACCACTGATGCACAGCTACACATAGTAAAACTTGCAATCAGAAATATTTAAAAATTAGTAATTTTTGAATGCTTTAAGAGAACTGTACAGTTCGTTTTTTAAAAATTGTAACAAGCTATTTAAAATAACCATAATCATTTAGCTATATACTAACTATATAGTTATCTAGTAACTAAATACTATAGCACTTAGCTATAATTATTCTATAAATAATTTGAATTACATGCTTGATGAGTAAATAATTAAAAATACATCTAAATACGTATTCTTTACAGGCATTAATTCAGTATATCTGTGAGCTTTAGACACTGATATTTATAAAGTGCCAAAAATTTTCATAAATCAGCTGAGCATCAAGTAAAATAATGTACTTACCTGACCTATTTGCAAATGAATTTCCTTTATAGCATTCAATAAGGATCCTATAATTTCCTTTATGTGAATGAGATGAGTTTCTTCAATATCTTGAAATTTCTGGACAGTAAAACATAAAATTTCTGGGTAGTTACACATAAAAATATAGATGCATACAAAAACATATTCTGGGATCAAAAGATTTTAGAAATCATTTCAATTTAGATAACCAACTTAAGTAAGTTAATTTATTTTTTTTTTTGGAGGGGGATCCGATCCTGGGGCCTGAACTCTGGGCCTGGGCACTGTCCCTCAGTTCTTCAGCTCAAGGCTAGTACTCTACCACTTGAGCCACAGCACCACTTCTGGCTATTTTTTTCTGTTTATGTGGTACTGAGGAATGGAACCCAGGGCCTCATGCATGCAAGGCAAGCACTCTACCACTGAGCCACCTTCCCAGCCCTGCAAGTTAGTTTAGATAGCATTTAACAATACATCTAGACAAATGAATTTACACTAAAAAACAGCTCAGAGAAAAGTATTTTGCTTATATAAACTTTTCTAGAGCTTAAAAATAATTCAAGTTCAACTCTATAAACATGGTTTAAAAAACAGGAGACCCAAGAGAATAATTACAAAAGCCAAGGGAGAAAAGTTTCTAAAACTGAAAAACTGTATGATAGCAGATCAAAAGCTAGAGTTTACCTCTGAAGCCTTCATAATCTAAATAAAGACTTTTAAAATGTCTTTACAATCCTTGATATGTTTAATGTATTCTCCAAAAGAGGTAGTCTGTAATTTGTAAGAAAGCCTGTGTACTCTCAACACAGCACCAAAGGTAAGGATAGGATCAGATCAGCATAAAACACACAGATCCTCCAAGTGCTGCCTGAGGAACGGGTAGAACAGGTCGGGATGTTGTCTGGAAAAACCTCCAAGCTACTCTAACATTTATACCTGAGAGAAAAAGTTGCTGCTAGCCTTGGCTTCACAATAAGCATTAAAAAGTCCTGAGAAATACTGGAACAATGGAACTTCATTTTGCTTAATCCAGTGTTTTCTAAAGTTTGACCTCACAACCTTATTTAATGTTTTACTTGCCCCTTAAACATCACTATCAGCTGGGCACCGATGGCTCACGCCTGTAATCCTAGCTACTCAGGAGGCTGAGATCTGAGGATCGCGGTTCAAAGCCAGCCCAGGCAGGAAAGTCCATGAGACTTTTATGTCTGATAAACCACTAGAAAACCGGAAGTGGCACTGTGGCTCAAGGTAGAGAATTTGCCTTGAGCTGAAGAGTGCAGGGACAGCGCCCAGGCCCAGAGTTCAAGCCCCACAACCGACAAAAAAAAAAACCAAAAACATTACTATCACACAATGTTCCTCAAAACAGGGTTTGGGAAGTGCTGAGCTATCAATATCCAAACAAAATACATTCATCATTTCTTCTACACAAACCTGATTACCCTTTATTGCCAAATTAAACTGGTTCTAAGTAACTGGCCTAAATGATTTATTATTTTTCTCTGTATCAAATTAGATTACTTCCCCTCATATTTAATGTTTAAATCTCTTCAGCATGGAGTAATGTGATCAGAAATCACTAAATTTCTTTTCTATCTCTGGGCTCCAAAGTTTGGGGACACTTTTGCCCTACCAGTCTCCCAGTCATTCTTTTTTTTGGTTGGTTGTAGGGCCTGAACTCTGGGCCTGGGTACTGACCCTCAGCATTTCAGTTAACACTCTACTACTTGAGTCACAGTGACACTTCCAGCTTTTTCTGCTTATGTAGAGTTGAGGAATCAAACCCAGGGCCTCATGCATGTAAGGCAAGAATTCTACTACTGAGCCACCTTCCCAGCCCCCTCCCAGCCTTCTTTAAGTCTTAGTCTCATGTCTCCAAAAGCTTTTTCTCTCCAAAAATAACCTAATCCAAATTAAGTCATTCCTAGCAGGGCACTGGTGGCTCATGACTATAATCCTAGCTACCCGGGAGGCTGAGATCTGAGGATCTCAGTTCAAAGCCAGCCCAGGCAGGAAAGCCCATGAGACTCTTATCTCCAATAAATCACCAGAAAAACCTAAAAGTGGCACTGTGGTTCAAGTGGTAGAGCACTCGCCTTGAGCTGAAGAGCTGAGGGACAGCGCCCAGGGGCCAGAGTTCAAGTCCCATAACTGACCAAAAAAAAAGAAAGAAAGAAAGAAAGAAAAAGAAAAAATTAGGTCATTCCTATTATCTTATCTCATGGAGTGAAAATACCCTTTTCCCTTGTAATATTTATAATTTGTTATCTCATAATCAAGTGCTTAATGTCTGCCTCTCATTCTGTTTTATGAAACCCATGTAAGTTTTATTATTTACAGATATAATCTACATATTCAGCATCTACCACAGAGCCTATGGAATGGTAGATAAAGACAGATGAATTTTAGCACGTAAGCCTTTTGGGTTTCTGAGATGTCAATCATTCACTTCTTCAAGTGAGACAGAAAGTACATCTATATGAAGTACATCTTTTGTGCTTATCAGATGTGTACCATGAGCTGGGAACTATTTTAAATGCTTAGGATGTAAATTTCTCTTCTCACAGAACTGCAATTTACTGAGAAAGAACAAACAAAAAATATGGGTAAAAGAGCTCACTAGGTCCTTCACTATGTTTCTAGCTTCTCAAACATAATGACTATGTTCCAAAAAGAAGTTCCAACCACTACTAGCCTTACCACAAGAGTTTTAGCCCACCACTGAACACAAAGCACAGAAACAAGCAAACCTGATACTTTAAGCCACTTATTTTGTGAATGCCTTATATCTTATCTGTGGGCCTTTGAAAGATTGTGAGGATATAGAGAAAGCTATTTTATGATTTAATGCCAAGAAAAAAAAAAGTACAAGCCAGGTGACCATGCCTATAACCCTAGCTACTCAAGAGTCTGAGATAGGAGGATGGAAGTTTGAGTGAGACTCTTATCTTTAATTAACCATCAAAAGCCAGAAGTCAAGCTATGACTCAAGCTATGGTTGGTACAGTACCAGCCTTAAGTAAAAAAGCTAAAGGATAGTACCCAGGCTCCAAAAAACCCAAACAAACAAACAAAAAAAAACCCTACAAAGCTAGGTATGTATGTAAGCTACTTAATATGATAGTAAAATTAAGTTCTGTCTCTTGATTTGTTTTGATATATGGCTTTAGAGTGATAATTTTAAAAGGATTCTTCCTTTCTCTTAATAAAACGAGTTTTAACAGAAAAAAAAGAAAAAGAAAAATTAAATTCCCAGTATCTTTATCAGCAAGGTATTGGTGGCTCACACCTGTAACCCTACTCAGGAGGTTAAGATCTCAGGATCTCAGCTCAAAGCCAGCCCACGCAGAAAAGTTTGTAAGATTCTTATCTACAATCATCACCAAAAAGCCAGAAGTAGGGCTGTAGCTCAAGTGACAATCCAGTACCAGAACAGAAAAAAAAGAAAAGGATAATGATAAACACTAAGAAAGTAAAACAAGAAAGAAGACAAAGAAGAATGGAAATCAATTTATGAAAAGCACCTACTTTAAACCTGACCTTTAACTAGGTTCTAAGGAACATCAAATTGGATATACAAATTGGATAAAATTTAAGTTTATGGAAGATAGACTTTTTATTTTTATTGTTTTATTTTAATTTTTCTTTAATCAGTCGTGGGGTTTGAACTCTGGGACTGGGTGCTGTCCCTGAGCTCTTCAGCTCAAAGCTAGCGTTCTGCCACTTGAGCCACAGCACCACTTCCAGTTTTTTGGTGGTTTATTGGAGATAAGAGTCTGCCAGGGCTGGCTTTGAACCACGATCCTCAGACAGCCTTCTAGGTAGACAGTACTATTGTTGTGAGCCTTGAGCACCCAGCTCAATTATCTTTAAACACCCTCTTCTACCTGCATATGTCCTTATGACACCACCATTATAACATCTTGGTCCACAAGCTCACAAACAAAATTCAATACCTTAAAATACCACAATATTAGAACATTTATTCTGGGTATCTAAACATTTCTAAGATTAAATTATATATGAAAAAAATTTGTGTTAATAACTATAAACAATACAAATGTGCTATTTTCAATTTAATGTCTTAAAATTACCAACCTGAACTGTTTCTGTCATTTTCTGTTCAAAATCAGCTTTTGCTAATGCATATCTCTCCACATAGAGTTTATAGGTATCTGTAGCTTTCTTAGATTTAACAGCTGCCTGTAACAAGACAAAAACATTTTAAACTACACATTAACCTTTTTCTTTCCTAATATATTTTGAAATAACAAAATAAAACATATTTTAAGAGTTCAGTATGACAAACAGCCATTTTAATAGCTTGGTTAAGCCTATCTTAGTCATTTTGTTTTTATGGTCAAATAATAACTCAGAGATTAAATACTGACTCTCCTTTCTATCTGATCAAATGTACTTTGAAAACTTTAAATATGCTTATTTTATAACTTAAGAGTATTATGACTATATAATATATAACCACATTATAATTATGTGAAGTTGCTAGGAATATGTCAACACACTATTGCAAAGAAACTTCCTATCCACAAGAAAATCTGACAATACCATCAGAAGCACTTGATATTCTTTCTGTACTTGCATCTTTCATCTCTCCTTGATGACAACACACACACATACACACACACACGCACACACACACTTCATTTACTGTTTTATTAAAGTCTATCAACAAAGTTCAAAAGTTAACACTTAGGGGCTGGGAAGGTAGCTCAGTGGTAGAGCGCTTGCCTTGCATGCATGAGGCCCTGGGTTTGATTCCTCAGCACCACATAAGAAAAAAGCCAGAAGTGGCACTGTGGCTCAAGTGGTAGAGCGCTAGCCTTGAGCTGAAGAGCTGAGGGACAGAGCCCAGGCCCAGAGTTCAGGCCCCACGTCCAGACCCAAAAAAAAAAAGTTAATACTTAGTTTTCCTTCATTGTTCTTATTTTCTATTATATTCAACTAAAGCAATGAATTTTTAAATTTTTCCTATTTTTTCAAAATTTCTATCCCTAAAAACAAACTTCTAGTATAATATCACAGTTCTAGTTTTATTACTTAGTAAAAAAATAGCAATATACTAAATATGAGAAAGTGAAGAATATCAAAGTAAGTTATACAAGGGATCTTTGCTTCAAGGACTTTTAAAGAACACAACCCTCTGAAGAGCAAAAGGATTTATCAAAAGAATTCCAGGAAATGGAAACAAAGTTTTTTGCTGGTGGTGGTACTGTTTTGTGTTGCTGTTGTCTCTTTTTTTTGGTGGTTGGGGTGGTAAAATAGGCGCAGGAATGGAGGGAAGAAAAGTACACAAATGCATATATACTATACACAAAATGAACTATGAAACTTCTGGGCAGGGACAGGAAGAAGAAAATAGAGGAAAAGCAAAGGAAGGAGTGGTATTGTCCAAGAAGCACTGTACTTACCATCTGACTTAAGGGGCTGTAACAACTCCTTAATAGTAACATAACCAAAACAGAAATTATTTTCTTTCTTCTCCATTTTTCCCTCCTTCATCCTATACTAAATAAATCCTTTCTATAACTTAAAGTCATCCTACAATCTACAGGGTGATTTTTAATAACTGTCTAACAAAATTATGTGATCTCATTGGCAAACCCATCTTTACTTGCTTCTTTTCCTCAATTCTACTCTTTTTCTCTATTGCTTATTAAATTATGATTTAGTAATTTATGTTACCTATTAAGACATAGCTTACAATCACTCCTAAAGATTTGAAAGATTTTTAAAAACTATGACTATGTCCGTAATTTTAAAAGTAATTTATTCAGCTTTCTTGTAGTCTTTATTTCTTTTCCCTTTTTTTCAGTGCTGGGGAATCAAACATAAAGCCTTGAACACACTAAGCCAATACTCTACCACCACTGAGCTACACCTCTAGCCATCTTTCTTTTCACAGGTACTATACACGTTAAGATACTTGCACTTCTCAACTTACCATTCAAGCGATTTTCTAACTTCTTATAACTCACTATTTAATCATGTACCTCAGCTCTCAAGAAAATAAAAGCTTCTTACAGACAGAAGGGAATATCATGTATTTAGCCTTTAATAACACAGTATCTAGCAAAGTGACAAGCTTGGAACTAAAATTCTGACTTGCTATTACATATAAATTATTACATCATAATCTAATTGTCAATCAGAAAAATATTTGAGGAAACTATTTAGGAAAGTGTAAATATTCTAATAAAATTACAGCTAAAATAATCAATTTTATTATAATAATTTATGAACTGCAAAAGTTCAAATAATATTGTTTAAATTTTTCTTATTTTCCAAGTAAACACAAAAGCTGTTTATGGACAATTCAGTAATGGTTTTTTTTTTTACTGACAAAGAATTTATGATGTCATTAAAAATAAAGGATGAGGCTGGGAAGGTGGTTCAGTGGTAGAGCCCTTGCTTTGAATGCCTGAGGCCCTGGGTTTGATTCCTCAGCACCACATAAGCAAAAAGAAAAAAGCCAGAAGTGGCGCTGTGGCTCAAGTGGTAGAGCACTAGCATTGAGCTGAAGAGCTGAGGGACAGCGCCCAGACCCAGAGTTCAGGCCCCACGACCAGACCCAATAAATAAATAAATAAATAAATAAATAAATAAATAGGATGATCGCCTGGAAGAAAATTACTCCTTATAGAAGACCTGTATTTCTAGAATATAAACAAAATAATTATTCGTAACATTAGTCACCACATAATAAAGGAATTTAAGAGACAGAAGAAGCATGGAGTTGGGAGGGAGAGGGGAGAATGATGAAAGGGTGATATTGGTCAAGATGAATTGTACTTAAAAACAGATTTGTTGAATGATAACCCTTTGTACAACTAAAGGTAATAAAAATACAATTAAAAAAAAGAGAAAGATGGAAAGAATCTCCTGACATATCATTTCTTCCTTCTATACTCGTCTCTAGAATTCTGAAAAATTTGTTAACCAGGTCTTCACTAAGTCAAAAGACAAAATTAGTCATTTAAAATTTGCACACCAATAGCTAATAAGTCAACAAAAAACCTGTACACCAGTAAATTTTCATTTTTTCCCATATAAAATTATACCATAATACTACTGATGTAGCTATTCAATTTAACATGCTAATTACTACTACTAACCATAAAATTGTCATCTTTAGCTCAAAGGTTAAGAATTGAATCTAACCCAAAATTATAAGCCAGTTAATCCCTTTTGGAATATACTCTCTGATATTAACAAAACTAAATTTTTCATTTCCCCTATTTGGAAACATTAAGGAAGAAAGAAGGTACTTTTTTAAAGTTCTAATTCTTTTTAACACAAATCAAGAGTTCAATAGTATCATTCATAAAATACAGATGTCCTTTTAAACAAATATCTGCAACACTGGATTGTGGTTTAGAACAAAGGTGGATTCAATATTTATAATAACTACCACAGGGATATAGAAGGAATTTTAGAACTATATAGTAGCAAACACTTTCATTATATTTGCTTTTTTTTTTTTTTTTTAATGTGCCAGTCCTGGGGCTTCAAGTTGGGGCCCTTAGCTTTTTTGCACTCTACCACGTAAGCAACACCTCCATTTCTAGCTTTTTAGTGCTTAACTGCATATAAAGGTCTCATGGACTTTTCTGCCCAGGCTGGCTCAGAACTATAATCCTCATCTATCAGTCTCCCGAGTAGCTTTAGGATAGAGGTTGTGGGCCACCAGTGAAAAGCAAGAATGAAATTTGAAAAAGAATTTGATTCTTGAAGTGTTTTACAAATGACTAAAGGTATTATAAAAAAGGACGTAGGAGCAAATTTAAAACGTACTCATATTTTTTTAAAAGAAACTGCTCTCGTAAGAAATAGCTGAAGAGTAATACTGAATTACTGTCTACACTTTATAAATAGTATGCTAATACTATGAATTCTTCAAGTAGATCTATAGAAACTACAAACCCTAGTAGATTGCCCATGTAAAGTCATCACTAAAAGGGAAGATGAAAAATGTGAGGTTTTTTGTTTTTGCTCTTTTTATGGTGCTAGAAATCAAAAGTGGGACCTTGCACATTAGGCAAGTGTTCTATTGAGCTACACTACGAATTCTGGAACTTTTTTTTTTTTTTGAGGGGGGGAGGGTTGGGGAGGGGGGCCTGAACTCTGGGTCTGGACGCTGTCCCTCAGCTCTTCAGCTCAAGGCTAGCACTCTACTACTTGAGCCACAGCACCACTTCTGACTTTTTCTGCTTATGTGGTACTAAAGAATCGAACCCAGGGCCTCATGCATGCAAGGCAAGCACTCTGCCACTGAGCCACTTTCCCAGCCCTGGAACATTTTTTTGAATTATTTGCTGCTTTTTATTTTTTCCTTTAAGAAATTTCCAATTTGTTATACATTATATATTTTATTATTTCATTATGTTGTATAATAGCTCAAGCCTATTACAATATCATTCCCTAAGTATATCAGATTTGGATTATCTAAGAATTATAATAACATGAGCAGTCAATCTATTTCTTAAGTAACATTTGAACAAAGGGCCTAAATGTATAAGCATGTACTTATGTATTTATGAGTTATGTTTCATAAATCATTTTTAAATTAAGGCAAATAAAAAATTACAAATATAACCTTCAAGACTTCTTAAATTCTAAAATCCAAACCTTAAAAGCTGGTTGATCAGCTCCCAAAGCCATGGATAGTTTCAAAACAAAGTAGATAGTTAGTACAAGTATCAGCCTTTAGTATACTCATTTCACAAAGCATATTTAGTTTCTAAAGCAGAAGTGTTCATATTTAACTTTGAAAATACATATAATGCCCTAAAATCCAGATCAAGGCATCTATTTCTTGAAATGTGTTCGTTATCTTCTCAATATATTCTCCAGATTTTAACTTTATGCCATCAATTACAAGGTAGTTCTTTTTTTAAAAAACTGCTTTCTTATACTTCAAATGGTTGTAACAAGAGGTTTCTAGTTATCATATCCCTTTATGTATTCAGTGCTTTTTGAGCAGTCATACCTTCCACCATTCTCATTCATCCCATTGATTCCTTTTCCCAGACTCATTTCATATTTCCTACTTCCTTTATCATGCATGTACATTGAGTATTCTGGCTGAATTTGTTCCCCATTCCCTTTTTCATTCACCCACACTCTCCCAGTAACCCCCCACTCCAATTAGTTTTAGCTTCTTGATATTCATTTTTGTTAAACTTTATGTTGACTAGTCAGAAGGTATTCCAAGGAATTCCACGACTGCATGTACTATTTCTATTACAATTACCTTTTCTATTTCTCTTTGTGTAGCTCCTTCCTTTTTCAGACGCTCTTGTTCTACACACTTGGCATTGTAAATTTCCTTGGATTTCTGAAGGGCCTGAGTTATGCTCTGAATGGTTTGAACAGCTTCTAGAGTTCCTGCAACTTCTTCTTTCGTCTGTTTGGCATGATGATTTAAAAAAATGAATAAACCAGAAAGGACTTAATATCTAACTAAGCAATACTTTCATGAGAAAAAAAAAAAAAAAACACATACCTTTTTATGAGATTTTACTTGTTCTTCTCCATACTTCTGAACTTCTTTTATTAATTCCTGTAATTTTCTAACAAGATCCAAGTGACAATTTGCTAATTTCTCTGTAGATGTTTTGAATACATCCCACACTGGAGCAAATGTTCTAAGGAAAAGGAACAACATAGAAATAATTCACTAAAAGAAAAAGAAAGGTTTGGAGGTGATGCTGTGGCTCAAAGTGGTGGAGCACCATGAGCAAAAGAGCTCAAGGACAATACCTAGGCCCTGAGTTCAAGCCCCACAACAGAAGAAGAAGAAGAAGGAAGGAAGGAGGAAGAGGAGGAGGAGGAGGAGGGAGAAGGTAGAAGAAGAAGGAGGGGGGGGAGGAGGGGGGGGAGGAGGAGGAGGAAGAGGAGGAAGAAGAAGAAGGTGAAGGTAGAGGAGGAGGAGGAGGAGGAGGAGGAGGAGCAGCAGCAGCAGCAGCAGCAGCAGCAGCAGCAGCAGCTGGGCACTGGTGGTTCATGTCTGTAATCCTAGCTACTCAGGAGGCTGAGATCTGAGGATCGCAGTTCAAAGCCAGCCCAGGCAGGAAAGTCCGTGAAACTCTAATCTCCAATACACCACCAGAAAACTGGAAGTGGCACTGTGGCTCAAGTGGGAACAGCGCCCAGGCCCAGAGTTCAAGCCCCACACCTGACCAAAAAAGAGAGAGAGAGAGAGAGAGAAAGAAAAAGAAAAAATTTAAAGTTCTAAGATGGAACTACTAGAAATAATAATGAAGACCAAATTAAAACAACAGAAAGACTGGCTGAGAAGGTGGCTTAGTGATAGAGTGCTTGCCTAGCATGCACGAAGCCCTGGGTTTGATTCCTCAATACCACATAAATAGAAAAAGCCAAAAATGGCGCTGTGGCTCAAGTGGTAGGTAGAGTGCTAGCCTTGAGCAAAAGAAGCTCAGGGACAGTGCCCATGCCCTGAGTTCAAGCCCCAGGACTGGCAAAAAAAAATTTTTTAATGGAAAAACTAACAAACTGATCTTGATTTTTTATTTTTTCATCCTTGGTTAATTACTGAATGTATTCCTGTCACAAATGTGGATTAATTTTATGTCACATATCACAGGTCCCTCTCAATTACATTGCTTTCTATATTGACTTAGTTATTAAAAGCTGAATTAGAAAGTTTATCACTATTGTTAAAAATTAAATCAATCATCAAAATTTTAATTTAAAACTATGAAGTTTCTATTTAAGATGCTTCTCCGAAAGTAAAGTTCCTATGAGGCTAGGTATACAGCTCAGTGTTGAGTGCTTTGTCTACCATTTAGGAAGTCCTGGGTTCCATTAATAATAGTAACAGTTTCTCTGAATTTAACATTCAAGAAGCAAAATTTTTGCATGTGATATTTTATATCTTTAAGAATTATTTTACAGCAATAACTGCTGAAATGTTTGGGCATTATGATTTTCTCTACCATGTACTTCAATAATTCATTAACAGTAAGGGATGTGACCTTCTTTCCTACCAATTTTTTTCCTCAAAATTAAGGATTTATACTTTCAGCAGTCTCAAGTACAACCAAGAATTGGTACAATTATCCTATTTTGGATAGGACTTAGGATATCCTTGCTTAGTTTAAATTAGCCTGGTTAATAATCATCTTAATTTATATTTTGTTCAAGTTCTTGCTTTAAAGTATCTTCACAATAAAACTTCTAATACAAAACAAAAGAAACTGCAGCAATGACTACTAAGAGGTCAGAGAGTGAAATTACTTATTTATTTTTATGTGTACTTTCTGCAAATCACTACATTTCCTAGCCAGTAGAAAAGTGAACTGGAAACAATCATTGTATACAGTACGACGCTATTCAAAATCTTTGTGATACATTTCCTGATCAGTTCTTATCTCACACCAAAGTCTCATAAGCACTAAGCTTGGCAAGCAGTTAAGCAGAAAATTTCAAGAAAAGATACCAATAATGCATCTTCTCACTAAAGTATCAAAATACATGTACTTCAATTCACATAAACCTGGTATTAGGTGAGATTTCACAAAGACAAAAACACAATGTCCCTTTACTTCGCACTAAAGGATTCTTTATACTCAAAGGGGATTCAACATATAATTTCTTCAAAAATTGTTTAAGAAATTTTAAATCTCATTCAAATTTTAAGTTTGACATATACATCTATTTTCTGGGGTCAACTATAGATATTACTGTATATACATTAATAAACACTAAGGAAAATAAATGAGAAATTAAAAGTCTATTTAAATGCAACTGAACATGAAAAGACAAAATTCAATTTAATGCTAAACTATGCAACAGTAAACAACAACATAAACATTTAAAATCTTAGCCGGGCATTGGTGGCTCCTGCCTATAATCCTAGCTACAAAGGAAGCTGAGATCTGAGGATTGCAGTCAAAGCCAGCCCAGGCAGGAAACTCCCTGAGACTCTTATTCAATAAACCACTCAGAAAGCCAGAAATGGTGCTGTGGCTCAAATGGTAGAGCACTAGCCTTGAGCCTTGAGCTGAAGGATAGTACCCAGGCCCAGAGTTCAAGCCCCAGGACTGACAAAAAAAAAAAAAAGGAGAGAAAGAGAGAAAGAGAGAAAGAGAGAGAGAGAGAGAGAGAAGAATCTTAACAAACTTAAGAGATGGTACAACAAAAAATAACCTATTATTTATGAAAATACACATTCCAAAGGCAGTAATGTTGTCAAGAAACGAAGCTGATGTCAAAAAATATTCTGTCTCGGGGCTGGGAAGGTGGCTCAGTGGTAGAGCGCTTGCCTTGCATGAGGCCCTGGGTTCGATTCCTCAGCACCACATAAGCAAAAAGAAAAAAAAAAGCCAGAAGTGGTGCTGTGGCTCAAGTGGCAGAGCGCTAGCCTTGAGCTGAAGAGCTGAGGGACAGCACCTAAGAGTTCAGGCAATATGACCGGACCCCCAAAAAAAAAAAATTCTGTCTACCATATTCCTAAAAACTAAAAATAGGGTAGAATATTATAATAAAACCAAGCCCAATTAGTTAAAACTCCCAACACACTTTTGTTATTCCAGTTAACTTTTCTGGCCCTTCTAGTGTGATCAGAAAAGAAGAAACTGGGTTTTAGAAGTTTATTATAATAGAAAGAAGAGGGTGTCAAAAAAGTAAGAAAAGAAAGTAGGGATAAAGTTATGAAAAGGAAGACAAATAGGAAGGAAAAAAATAGAAGCATTTCTCAACCACCAGTCTCCGTTCTTCAAGGTGGAATTCCCAGCCCTCCCACTAGACTTGTGCAGCACTGGCTGCACAAGGACCTTTTAGTTGTGTAGTTGTCAGCATACACGTAAAGGGCAGGGACTCTACACTGGGAATGGACTGAGATTTCAATCCCCCTTGGCCCAATCCCAAAGCCAAGCAACTTTTGTTTAAACTAAACATACTGCAGAATATTTACATAAAGTAGGTGTTTTTAGCTATTCTGAAAATCACAGAATCATTTGAAAATCAGTTAATTTGTACTGACCATCGTTATAAAATATAAGTTAATATAAAATGAAATTGACAAGTTCACAGAAGTTCACTGCCAAAATCTTGTTAGATTAACTATTTCAACATCTTAGCTGAGATAGAATCTTCCCTCAACTTTTTTTTTTTTTTTTGGTAGTATAAGGTGTTGAACTCAGGGCTTCATGTTTGCAAGGTAGGTACAAACATAAGCCCTGTCCCCAGTCCTTTCCTCAACTTGAATATAATTAAACAAGATTAATTCTTTCCAGAGTTATTATAGGTTTTGACTATAGAACTATTCTTTCCATAATTTTTATGGCTGTAAGTTTTTTTCATTTTAAAGAGTCATTACTTTTCAATTTTTTTAAGAAACATGTTTCTTGAATACAAATTGTTTAGATTTAATGAGTCTATTAAATCATGTGAATATTTAAATTTTTTGTGTTTTTGTTCAGTCACAGAGCTTGAACTCTGGGCCTGGGCACTGTCCCTCAGCTCGTCAGCTCAAGGTCAGCACTCTACCACTTGAGCCACAGTGCCACTTCCAATTTTCTTGTGGTTAATTGAAGAGTCTCAGGGACTTTCCTGCCCAGGCTGGCTTTGAACCATGATCCTCAGATCTCAGTCTCCTCGGTAGCTAGGATTACAGACAGGCATGAGCCACCAACGCCCAGCTTCAAATAATTTTAAATTATTTCAATAGTTTTGTCTCAATTGAGTTTTGTTTTTGTTGCGGTTTTTGTTGTTTTTTGTTTTGTTCTTAAGAGATAATTTTACTCTGAAGACAAGAATGTCCTCAAAACTCATAATCTTCCTCATTCACCCTGCTGAGTGCTGGGGTTGCAGGATTAGACCACCATACCTGGCAATGTAAGGATCATTATTAAGCGTACAAGAGAATTTCAATTAACTTGAAGAAACTAGAACAATCTGTCTATATGTAATAGAGCATTTATAATCTCAAACTACTGAATGGCTAGGTAAAACACTAAGTTTCAGTATCTTTGCATTAACTGATTCAGCAACTTCAATGATTATTTTCAGTAAGTCAAAATGTATTCATACAAAGATGACATTCATTAACAAGCATGTACTCATAAATGACATGCTGAATTGCAACCCCTTTATACAACTTAAAGATAATAAAAATATATATTTATAAAAGATAGAAATTCTAAATAAGTACTTAGTAAACTATGCATGTATGTTGACATTTTGATCAACAATAACATTTACAATAATAGAAACCACTGGTCCCATAAACTTTTTTTTTGTCGGTCGTGGGGCTTGAACTCTAGGCCTGGGCACTGTCCCTGAGCTCTTCAGCTCAAGTCTAGAGCTCTACCACTTGAGCCACAGCACCACTTCCAGTTTTCTGAGTGGTTTATTGGAATAAGAGTCTCACAGTCTTGGGCTGGGAAGGTGGCTCAGTGGTAGAGTACTTGCCTTGCATGCCTGAGGCCTGGGTTCAATTCCTCAGCACCACATAAGCAAAAAGAAAAAAGCCGGAAGTGGCACTGTGGTTCAAGTGGTAGAGCGCTAGCTTTGAGCTCAAGAGCTGAGGGACAGTGCCTAGGCCCAGAGTTCAGGCCCCATGACCAGACCCCCCCAAAAAAAAAAAAAGAGTCTCACAGTCTTCCTGCCCGTGCTGGCTTTGAACCACGATCCTCAGATCTCAGCCTCCTGAGTAGCTAGGATTATAGGCATGAGCCACCGGCACCCAGCCTTGGTCCCAATATCACTATCATATAGTGATATTGTAGATGCCTTAGTTTGCCAGACCTGAGGCTTGAACTCAGGGCCTGGGCACTGTCTCTGAGCTTCTTTGAGTCAAAGCTCACACTCTACCACTTGAGCCACAGCACCACTCCGGGCTTTTTCTGTGTATGTGGTACTAAGGAGTCAAACTCAGGGCTTCATGCATGCTAGTCAAGCACTCTACCACTAAGTCACATTCCCAGCCCAATGTCTTAGTTTTTGCAAATATACTCTATGCTGTTTGCAGAATGACAAAATCTCATCTGACACATTTCTGAGAATATGTGGTTAAGTGATTATTGATATATCTTAATATCACCATACTTATAAACTATTATACCCTTAATACAAACTTAATATTCCTAAAAACCTTGCCTGAATGAACATGAATTAGAAAGTAACTCACCCAAGCTGTGAATAATTGCTTGCAGATTTTGCTAGTTTTGTCATTGATCTGGAGTATGCTTCTTCTATTGTAGCTCTGTTAAATGAAATTTTCATATTAGAGAATCTTGTTTAATGATCAAAAACATATCAAAATGATCAAAATACAAATAAAGGAGTCAAAAAAGTACAATGAAAAAAAGCTTCTTCAATAATTGGTGTTGGGAAAACTAGACATCTATAAAATTTGATCTCTGTTGTCACCATGCACCAATACCAACTTAAAGTGGAGCAAAGATGTCGATGTCAGAACCAAAACTTTGAAACTAGTGCAAGATGGCGTACAAGAAACATTAGAACTTATAGGTATAGGTAGGAACTTTTTGAAGAGTCCCAGGGACCCAGAAAATAACGCTAGAGACTTGACAAATAAATGAGATTAAATCAAAATAAAAAGTTTCTGCACAGCAAAGGTCACAGTTACTTAACCAGAAAGACAGTCAACAGACTAGGAGAAAATCTTTACCAGCAATCTGACGAAGACCTAATATCCAAACTACACGAAGAACTCAAAAAATTAACACCCCCCCCCAAAAAAAGACATAATAAACCAAGCAATAAATGGGCAATGGAACTCAAGAGTTCTCAAAAGAAGAAGCAAGAAATGCTCAACAACACTGTCCATAAAGGAAATTCAAATCAAAATAACTTTGATTCCATCTCACCTTTGTTAGACTGGCCAATATCAAGAATTCAAACAACAACAAACTCCGGCAGAGATGTAGGGGAACCCTATTGCACTGCTAGTGGGAATATAAACTAGTACAATTCTGAAAGGCAGTTTGGAGATTCTTCAAAAAACTAAACAGAGAACTCCCTATGACCCAGCCATACCACTCTTGGCCTCTACCCAGATCATTACAAGTCAGGATATAGTAAAGACACTTGCATATTCATGTTCACTGCTGCACTATCATAAAAGCCAAGTTATGGAAACAGCCCAAGATGCCAATGGAATTTTACTCATCCATTAGAATGAATAAGATTATGCCATGTGCAGGAAAATGGATAGACCTAGAAAAAATCATGCTACACTCAGAGAGACAAATGGCACATATTTTCTTTCATATGTGGTAGCTAGATCTACACTATAACTGGAGAAGATAATCTGTACAACACTGTAGGCATTCACACACAAACCTCAGATTAAAGGAGGATACCCTTAGGGGAGGAACCCAAAGCAGAAACTCTTCTGAACATACTATCAAAACTAATTCCAGAAAAATGGAAATACGGGTTTTGTACTGTTATTGTTGGGGAGGGGGGGGTTATAGATTTTTTTTGTTTTTGTTTTTTTGCTTTAGCTTTTGTTGTTGTCTTTTTTAGGAGGGGGCAAAGGAGGGGCCTAAAAAGGGAGGAAAGTTGAACAAGTGTAATCATGATAGTCAGTATATACTATGTAGAAAATGAACTATGAAGGGATAAGGAGGGGGAAACTGGGGAAACGCAAAGAAAGAATGACACTGTCCAAAAAAGTCATTTGTGGTTGAGCACCTGTGACTCATGCCCCACACTGACGGCTAGGCTTGTAATCCTAGCTACTCAGGAGGCTGAGATCTGAGGATCATGAGTTGAAGTCAGCCCCAGGTAGAAAAGTCCATAAAACTTGTTTTTTGCCAGTCATAGGGCTTGAATTCAGGGTCTTGACACTGTTCCTGAGCTTTTTTGCCTCAAGGCTAGCACTCTACTATTTGAGCCACAGTGCCACTTCTGACTTTTTCTGTGTATGTGGTACTAGGCTTCGTGCATGCTAGGCAAGCACTCTACCCCTAAGCCACATTCCCAGACTACCCTGGAGACTCTTATTTCCAATTAACCAACAAAAAACAAAACAAAACAAAGAAAAAGAAATGCAGCTGTGGTTCAAGTAGCAAAAAAGGTAAGGGGCAGTGTCCAGGCCCTAAGTTCAAGCCTCGGTACTGGCACAAAAAAAGAATAGCAAACTGATCGTAGAAAGAGCTCATAAACTGAGGTTAGTGAAATAGAAAATATAAAAGACGATGAACAAATCCTGTAATTGATTCTTTATAAAAACTACCAAGGGGCTGGGAAGGTGGCTCAGTGGTAGAGTGCTTGCCTTGCATGCATGAGGCCCTGGGTTCGATCCTCAGCACCACATAAGCAGAAAAGGCCAGAAGTGGTTCAAGTGGTAGAGCCTTGAGCTGAAGAGCTGAGGGACAGCACCAGGCCCAGAATTAAGGCCCTACTATGGACAAAAAGAACAACAACAACAAAAAAAAAAAAAAACAGCAAAAAGTCAAGTAGAGGCTCAAGTGGTGAATGCCAAAGTGGTGAACAAAGCAAGATGAGCAAGTGTAAGGGCCCATGTGATCATGGGTGCTGCTGTCAAAATTTAAAAAAAAGCTAAATACTACAATAGCTATGTGAACTACAAATTTATATTTAGAAAATCAAATGTGTATTTTAAAACCTTTCTGTAAAGATAGTATCAAGCCACACTGGATACACTGGATACCAGAATATTCTATCAATCATATACAAAAATAAATCTCTCACCAATTATTTTCAAGAGAATGAAAAAATGGGGCATACCTTCCATCACTTTTAATGAAACCAGCAAACCTCAATACTTAAAACCTAACAATGTACCTAACAAGGATCATTAGAGAAAAGAATTTTTCAGGCCAACCTCACTTACAAAAAGATAGCAAAGTACAATGAAATTTCCTTTATACAACTATGATATGCTAATAAAAAGATTTTAAAAGAGCAGGGGCTGGGAAGGTGGCTCAGTGATAGAGTGCTGGCCTCGCAAGCATGAGGCCCTGGGTTCAATTCCTTAGCACCACATAAGCAGATAAAGCCAGAAGCGGCACTGTAGCTCAAGTGGAAGAGTGCTTGCCTTGAGCTGAAGAACTCAAGGACAGCACCCAGGCACAGAGTTCAAGATCCACAACTGACAAAAAAAAAGTAAGAGCAAACTGTTTCATCAATATATGAAAAGACTGCCAGGCACTGATGGTTGACATCTGTAATCCTAGCTACTCAGGAGACTGAGATCTGAGGATCAATGTTCAAAACCAGCCTTGGTAGGAAAGTACATAAGAAAATTCATATCTCTAGTTAAACTATCAAAAAGCCAGACTAGAGCTGTTGCTCAAGTCGTAGAGCACTACTCTCGAGCACAAAAAGCTCAGGGATGGACCCAAGCCCTGATTTCAGTCAACTGTACCAGCACAAAAAAAAAAAAAAAAGATAAAATATCTGTACTATGTTGAGTTGGGTTTATGTCAAATTTCACTGTAATTTATACTGGGCTATATAGAAGAAGTATAAGGGTATAATAGAAAAATTACAAATTCCAGATTTACAGGATACATTTTGTTTGTTGGGTTGTTTCTGTTTGTTTGGAGTGTGTGTGTGTGTGTGTGTGAGAGAGAAAGAGAGAGAGAGAGAGACAGACAGACAGAGAGAGAGAGAGAGAGAGACAGACAGACAGAGACTGAGACAGAGACAGAGAGAGACAGACAGACAGACAGACACTAGGTTTGAATTCTGAGCTTCCTGCTTCCTGAAAAAGTGCTCTAATGTTGGAGCCATGCCTCAACCCTTTTTTTGCTTTAGCTATTACTCAGATAGGGTCCCTCCTACCTAAACCTCTGGATAGCAAGGATAAATGGAAAATTATTAGATGTATATTACTATATGTGGGGCTGTACCTTTCCTAATGTCTCCTTAACTGCTTCTGATAACTTCAATAATGGAATGTAGTACTTTCTATAATCTGTTAGTGGGATTCCCTTGTTTGTGTGAATTCATTTCAGATTTTGAGGGAGATCTTTTGTCAGAAAAGAGTGTCTTGGGAGAACAGCTTGGCATTCAGCTGTGGGCCAATTTATCTATTATTTGACCCTCAGTACCAGAAAAAAAAAAAATCTATGGAATGTTCATATAGTATACTTCAGATTTCTAGGTTAATTCCCTCACTTATTATTTACTCAAATGTCTCTATTAAAATATGTTGTTACTGGGCACCAGAGGCTCATGCCTAGAATCCTAGCTATTCAGGAGGCAGTGATCTGAGGATCACAGTTTGAAGCACCAGGATTCAGGTGGACCTGCTGCAACAATGAGAAGTACAAAATGTCATGTCAAAACCAGCTTTACAATGTCGGTGTGGGGGGGGAAGGGGGGGTATGATTGGGTGGGGGGGGAGGGGGGAGGCTGGGAAGGGAGGTCAAGGGTAAACAAAGGAGGAGGCTGCAATGCTTGGTAAGAAATGTATGCATTATCCTGCCCATGTAATTGTAACCCCTCTGTACAGTATGTTCTCAAATAAAATAAAATTAAAAAAAAAAAAAAAAAAAAAAAAGAACCTGAGTTCAAGCCCCAGGACCAGTGTGTGTGTGTGTGTGTGTGTGTGTGTGTGTGTGTGTGTGTGTCTAAAAAACACTCAAAAGATGTGTGTGTGTGTGTGTGTGTGTGTGTCTAAAAAACACTCAAAAGATGAGCCTAAAGAAATTATAAATGAACTGCAAGAAGTGGAAACAAGAGGTTTTCTTATTTACTTTTTGAAATTTTTTCTCTGATTTTTTTCCCTTTTGTCACTGTTTTGATTTCAGTACCTTTTGTCTTGTATGTAAGTTTATCTGATTTAAGTAGAGGAAGGGAAAGCAATGAAATAATGAGATAAAAGTTGAACTAATTCAGCAGTGATACTCACCAGACACTAGATTGAAAATGAACTATATAACGTAGGGGGCAGGGAGGTAAGAAGGGAAAAAACTGGGAGAAAATGAGGGAGGGGCTACACTGTTCAAAAAGAAAGTACTCAATACCTGACTTATGTAACTCACTCCTCTGTATATCATCTTTACAATAAAAATTTTACAAAATTTAAAAAGAAATTATAAAAACTTAAGACCAGATAGAACTACACAACTTCACAGTGGTTTCAAGCACAGGTGCATGCCTGATGTTAATAATTTACTATGCCCTTTTGATCACTGAAGTAAAAATCTGTAAGATTAAAAAGGGGGGACCCAACATGGCGATGGCACAGTAAGGAAATACCAC